ACTGGTGACGCAGGTGCAGAAGCTATGAGCAGTTCAAAGGAATTATTACCGGAAGACACAAAAGGCAAAAATGAATTGCAGTCAAAAGTGGAAAGCCAGTCCAAAAAGAGGATGAAGAGGCAGAAAACCGGACCAGACATTACTGAAGGTGTTGAAGAAGAGTTAGGTTAGGTGTTAGCTATTTCAGTTTTTAATGGAAGTGCATTTCTTAAATTTTTCAAACTATGACCGTCACAAGCAAAAGGAAGGACGTGTGGAAATTAAATTGAAAGACGTTGGTTCAATAGCTGGGTTGTTTTATGGATTTTGAGAAGGTTATTTAATTTAACTATATGAAATTGTTAAATTTTGTTATAATATTAGAGATTTACTATAAAAGTCGGGAATAAATTTTGTTTTTTTTTTATGACTAGAAAATAACAGTCATTTTTTTTTCACATTGTTTGTCACGCATTTTCTACATTCACTAACATTTTATAGATCATTTTATTTTTTTTCGCTTTGGAAGGAAGTGGATGTGTCCAAATTTTTTTAACCTTCTATTGTGCGTCACCTAGAATGTGAAATTCATGACCGGAAAATCATAATTTAGCCAACGTGAGTGATGGTGTCAGGAAAGCAAATGTAAAAGACATGGAGAGTGACGACGAAAACGAGGTGGAGGCGGGAGTTGGAACCACTATATTCGTTAAAAATTTGAATTTTAGTACAACAGAGGGGTCCTTGCGACTTAAATTTGCTTCGAAGTACAAAGTAAAAAGTGCCGTCATTTCAAAAAAGCTGGGTAAGTTTATACTTTGTAGAGTAGTTATCGCCGAGGATAAGAAGTAAACTTTTTTCTGATTTATTCGTGAAGTTACGTGTTTACTTCAGTTGTTTCTTTCTTGGCTGTTTTTTGGATCTTTTTTCTTTGCTTTTATAGGTACATTTTAAAAGTTTGCTATATTTGCTGAGGATGAAATTTTGATGATTTGCAACAGTTGTAGCCTTCTTTTGAGTTTTGTTGTTTTTTAAAGTTTTATAACTTTTCAAAGAGGGCAGAAAGCTTTTACAATATTTTTTCTGAACGATTTAGACACCAAAAATCCGTCAACACCTTTGTCTATGGGGTTCGGGTTCGTCCGCTTCTTCCGTAAAAGCGATGCGAAAGATGCCGTAAGAACGATGCAGGTGTTGTGCTTCGTCTGTGTTTATTTTTTCAACTTATGAATTTGGTTTTTATAAGGGGAACCTCAAGTTTTTGTAATAAAGCTTTTAAAAAATTTTAGCTTACAATTGGCTTCTCAATCCCAATTTTAAATCTACTTAATGTGGTGTGGTTTAGGGAACTTTGCTGGATGGACATTGTTTAGAATTAAAACTGTCAAATAGGGATGATTCAGAAGGCAAAATTCACGCCAGAAAAACGGTTTTCGACCTTGAACAGAAAGAAAGAACAAAAGTATGATTTACTGCTTTGCAAAATAATTTTTTTACCAGATATCAGTTAGCGTTTTCCAAATGCTTCATCGTTCGTTACATCGCGTGCATTGGTTATAATTGACGTAAACTTTATTGACGTAAAAGTATCTCTGATTTAGATTCATATCAAAAATATTTCGTTTCAAGCGAGTCGCGCAGAGGTCAAGCAATTGTTCGCCGCATTTGGTGAAATAAGAGCGTTTAGGATGCCAAGGAAGGTGATTCAGGATGTTCTTTGATTGTGTTTTTGAGTTTTATTTCCTCATCTGTATTAGCTTTTACTTTCATGATTCTGTGTGATTAATTGACTGCTACAGAATTGAACCAGGAGTTTTTTAAAGTAACATTTTGTTACAATTACTTCTATTATTTTTGAGTAATTTCTCACGCTTCTGATAGTTTAATTATTTAATAGAGTTACAGGTCGGAGGAGGTGCAGAAGAACATCGAGGTTTTGGATTTGTAGATTACCTGACTCGAGGTGACGCAAGACGTGCATTTAAACAACTTTCACACTCGACTCATCTCTACGGTAAAAGGATCGTTCTGGAGTGGGCTAAAGCTGAAGAAAATGTTGAGGAAATGCGTGAGAAAGCATTGCTCCGTTACAGGTATTATTGCATTTATTTCTTTCCTTTGAGTAGTCATTTTTAACAATTGTTGAGCTGCATTAGACTTTGCATGCATACATATGTTATATTTGAAAGATTTCTTTTTGAGTAAGTTCAACCGCAGCGCTCAGACTGAGTTGCATCGGTTGAAAATTGCACTTTCCCCTGTGATACTATTTTCGCTTGGTTATCATTTGTGTGGAACAACACCAGTTTTCAAAAGAATTTTTATTATCTGCGTTTAGAATAGTTAGTTTTATTTCTTGCTTGATGTAGGATATGGACAGTTCATCAACTACTGGACAGTTCAGTTAAAAAAATTGAAATCATATAATAATAGTAATTCATTGACTTCTTATCTCAATGACCTAGCAGATTCCAAGGTCGACTAATTTTAATTTTTTAATATGTAGAAGAGGAGTCGCAAAAACTTTGCGATTCTTCTTCTGATTCAGCAAGTTCATTCAAGATTCGGGGCCATTTGTTACCGGTTGGAAGTTTGTGGGCTTTATTAAGGGAACTTGCAAGTGAAAACAGTAAATGAAGCGGTGGGACTTGTAGATAGCTGCTGTGCGTTGATAGTAATTATTTAATAAAATAGCAAGAAAAATTTTTTCATTTTTTTTTGCTAAAGTAGACGCAAAATAATTCGGTTTCGGAACTATCAAAGGGAGAGCTAGAGTTCGGCCCCGTTGAGGGATCGCCCAAAGAGAAACGGTTTTTAAAAAGGAGAAACTGGTATGCTTGTCGATGATTCAACAAGCTCTGTTTGGATGGACGCTAGAGCGATGGGGTAAATTCTCGTTAAAGAGGAAAATCCGTCTTTATTTGCTCAGCGGCAGTATGAGAAGATAAAAGAAAATTATTAGGAAGGCTTTGTAGTTTCTGTTTTAAAGTACAGTAGTATCTTCATAAATGGATCTCTGTAGGCTTTTGAAGAAACAGCGTGAACCATATTTTTAGACGTTTAACGACTTCTAGGTAGCACGACGGTTGGAAAATCTTGCAGGAGCAGCTGTAACATTGTTTTAGAAGTGTCGTTAAAAGCATCTTATATTACGCTGATACTCTAGCAGGAATAGTAGCCATTAGTAGACTTTCGCTTATTGAGGAGGAGTTACAGAACCGTGAAGGCTGTTAATCAAAGCTTATAATCGACATTTAAACTGTCGATAATTCGTAGAGCATGCGACAAAATGGCATGAGCGTGAAACGTTAAAAATTTTGCTTAGTTGAAAAAGTTTGAGAGAATATGTTGAGGAATAGAGGGAATTTTTAAGGATTGCCGCATTTTTCTTATTGATTTGCTTGTTGGCGAGAGCCCTCTCAGCGTAAATTCGATTCTCCGGTTTGTTCTTATGAAAGAAGCAGTAGATTAGTTTGAGTATTCGCAATTATTTTGCTACCCTCTAATTACGTGATCATGGTATGGCCTTTGGCTTATTTAGATGCAGTTTAGAAAACTCGTTTCTTTGTAGTAAAGAACAGTTGTTTTAACTTGCGCTGCATTTTTTTTTTCGTTTCTGCTCTGCGCTCTTACTTACATCTTCGGAGTAATTGAAACGAAATTTTTTCAAAGCGAAAAAGTGTTAGTCAAGTCGTTTCCGTTTCAAACAGATTTGTTTTGGACTCATTCGTTCTGTATAGGTTTCGTTTTTTTCCATTTCTCTACATTTCATGTCTCAATTTTTTCCGCATTTTTCTAGATTATTTCTAATACTTCTTCACATGTGAACTTTGATTGCAGCGACTGTATGCAATCCAGTATTGTTCGATATTTTGCTAAATAAAGAATTTTCAGTGTCAGCGGTGAAGAAGCTGTCAAGGGAAAGAAAAAGCTTCGGGAAATTGAGAAAGATTTAGTTGCGATCGATGATGACTGAAACTGCAGTTTAAAAAAAAACGTCCCCTCAGTTACTTGTTTTAATACTTTTAAAATGTGATAGAACATAGATTACTGATAAAGAAAGGAAGAGAAACGTGTTGGTTTTGAGGTGGTCTTCACACCAAGTTTTAGAGTACCGAGTCTCGCACTGACTCATTCTTTAAAAGGATTTAAGATGCCGACCTTTTTAATTGAGTTTTGAACGTTACCTTTTGTTATCTTTCTTTACACATTTTGCTTATGAAACAAATCGAAAGGACCAAGTAGAGAAGGTTACGACATTGTGATTCAGGCGAGCATGAAGGGAATCCACCATGCGAAGAGCTAAAAGTTACGTGCATGCAAAAATAAATATCTTGATAAGGCATGGTATTCTACCACTTCGGAAGGGTGCCATTTTCTCTCAGCAGAAGTGAAGCAAACGACTTCTTGATTTTATGCGGCACGGAGTTTTGGTTTGTAGTCTATGCTGGCTTTATATGAGTATTTTCCACCAGACAGTGGGCCGCATTTGAGTCTTCAAATTTTTCATCACCTTTTTGAGGCGAAATCAGTTGCTTTTCCCCATCGACAGGGCCCGACAGGTTTAAGCCGGTAGCTCAGACGGGGAGATAGGTTATTCATTAAAGAACTTGCATGATGGCGAAAGGCTCAAACAAGGTTGTGAAAAATGCACTGCATTTTGCAGTTTCTGTCTCCAAGGCGTTGAAAAGTGTTGTCATTTTGAATTGCTGTAGATAGGGGCTGTCTGGGATCACGCTCAAGGGCTCAAAAGCCAGCGGTCATTGACGCCTGAAACTACAAAGGAATGCGCGAGGAGTGTGGCCCAGGAGAAAATAGAACTCGGCTCATTATGATGACCAATAAAACAGCGTACAGGCATAACCTCTTTTTCAAAACGTTTAGAACGTCATTTTTCCAGAAAAAACGTTTTGAATTTTTCTTCTATTTTAATTTAGGATAAAATTTGCTAACTTAATCGTTCCACCAGTTTTTTGAATCTGCAGGAGATGAACTTTCCAAAAAAGTAAAAATTATAAAAACCCGTCGTGAATGAAAAAAGCTACAATTTCTTGAAAGTGACCATTTTGAAGGTGAATTGCGTTTTTTTTTTTTTTTTCAATTTAGAACAGCTTAACTTTGGCGCCAGCGCTCTTCATGAGGTGAATCTTTTCAAATTCAAAATCCGGCAAGAAGTGCTAGAGGTGGTCAAAAAGTGAAAAAAATCTGAGAGGTTGGCTGATAAAAGTGTGCAACTTGGCTTGGAATGGCCCATATATATAAGGGCCTACACATGTGTAGGCTGCCTCATGCTAAGTGGTATACTTTTTTAGTTGACCTCTTAAGTTGTTTTTATTTTCTGTTGATCTTTAGCGCGTTACACCTGATTATGGAATCGAAACAGTATTTTTTTTTTTTTTTTTGATTTAGTTTAAATCACTTGGCAGCGAAAAACTTTTAGTTAGGTATCCGTTGCTGGAATACCCAAACCAAAGCATGTTTTAGTGTAACAATAATTAGGTTGAAACTAGGACGTTTTCACCTGCAAAAATGAGAAAACGATGCCCAAACTGAAAATTTCAAATGTCCGACTAGACATCAACCACATCTTAACTCATGTAGTCATAAAAGTATCACCTTGTAATTTCAACAAGTTACGCAACACTTATAAATTTGAAAAATTTAAAACTGTTTTTTTTTTTTTGAAAATGCCGCCTTAAACTCTTATTTTTTACAATTATTTCTCACACAGTTTGTTGGCATACACATTTTATTCCTCCTTTTAGTGAACAAGAGATAACCTTCAAAAGAACAGAAAATTAGAAAAACCTGTTGTAAATGAATAAAATTAGAAAGTTCTAAAGGTGGTTTTTTTTTTTTAGCAAAAACTGCGCTTTTTGAGGTACACTTCTTGATTTCACAATTGGATATCACTTATTACAAATTACTAAAAAATGAGAAAAAACTGGAGGGTCGACTAAAAAAGTTCTTCACTTGGCGTGAAATACTTTATGAATAAATAAATAATTAAGTAAGCAAACAAATAAATAAATATAAATACAAATATAATTGTAATTATAATTGTAAA